TGTCTCATTGTTCAATCTGTATGTTATATCCAAAATTCTGAGCCCTTTCTGTCATATAATCTTTAACTTGTTCCTCTTCCATTTCAAACTTTAACAGAAGTTTATACATTTTACCAATCAAATGTTCATCATCAGTACATAACTGTAACTCAAATTCAATTTTGTTTTATTCAAAGCTAGAAATCTTTTTATCTTTCAACTATTTGTCAATGGAAAACTATTGAAAGCTATAACAGTTTGAGACTAGTTTCTCACTCAGTTTAATTCTCTTTTCTTCTTGATCAAACCCCAATAAATTTTGGTAAGTTTACCATTATTTTTATTTTTTTGCTATTGTTTCCTTTTTATAACAGGCTTCTTGTGCTGAGACTCAAAACACAGCCTGGGTTTGTACTCATTCCATATTCCTAACAAGGCATGCCTCACAAAATGATTATTAAAATCCACATTTTCTGAATCAGAAGAGTAAAACCAAGGGTCTTTTTATACTACACAGTTATATTGCTATGATTCCACTTTAATTGACATAGAAACATCCTGTGGAATCCTGGGGCTTGTAGTTTGGTGACGCAATACAGGAACCCTCTGGCTGACAATTCTACATACATTTTCGTAAACTGCAAATCCCAGGATTTCATAGGATGTCACAATGTTAGTTAAAATAGAATTTGCTGTTGTTATGTTCCTTCAAGTCAACTCCAGTTCATGATGACCCTGTCCTAGGACATCCTTGGCAAGATTTAGGGCCTTTGCAGACTGCCAGAAATAGTGCAAATTGAGTCCACTTTAAGGGTTAGGGTTAGGGTTAGTGCTAGGGAGTCATGGGAATTGTTGTGTTGTTTTTTTCCTGAGACATTGAGCCTTCTCTGTCAGAGAGCTCTGGTGCCACAATAAAATACAGTTCCCATGATTCCCTAACCCTAACCCTTAAAGTGGACTCAATTTGCACTATTTCTGGCAGTCTGCAAAGGCCCCTACTCAGGGGAAGTTTGCCATTGCCTTCCTCTAAGGCTGAGAGAATATGAATTGTCCCAGGTTATGCAGTATGTTTCCATGGCTGAGTGGGGATTTGAATGCTAGTCTCCTGAAGTCCTAATCCAAAACTCAAACCACTTCATCACATTGGTTCAAAAGTGGAAGGTAGGATTATAAATTGTGTTGTGTGGAAAGCCCCCAAAATGGGAACTTAAATGCAGCATATATCTAGAAAGGGAGATGTGAATAGGTCAGACATGTTTGAATGGATTACTTCTGATAGAACTGCTGCAGAGAGAGAGACATTATAAAACTTATTCTAGCACCTGTCCTTTCTGAAAATGGTATTGAAGAGATCAAGAAGTGATCAGGTGTTCATTAAAAACATTTTAGGAGAATGTGCTTATCCTTATAAATACCAGTTACGTCATTCACAGACTTTCAAGTAAGATGGAATACATTTGCATCCTGCTAATGTAATGCGATGTGATGCTGTGTTCATATATGTTCATTATTAATTAAAGTTAAGGTGTGTGGGTTATTTTAAGAGTAAGTTCTCTCACGTTACAGAACTTAATTCAAAGTGGTTTTGTTGTTTTTGATATATCTTATCATCCCAGATAACTTTTGTTATTGTGTGTAATAAAAATATAATCAACAATAAATATTCATAGAGTTGCAGACTAAGCAGAGCTTGGGGAAATTATTTTTTTGGATTACAGCTCCCAGAATCCCCGAGTAAGCATAGCTACAGGCAACTAATAGGCATACTTCTTTTTCTAGAGTGAACAAAATACAAAAAGTACATCTAACAACCTCACCCAATTAAGCACATTTTCTTGTCAAATCATGCACATTTCTTCCCCAAGCTTTTTGTCATGAAGGCGGCCTTGGCTACATCTACACAGCAGAATGAATGCAGTTTGACACCACTTTAACTGCCATGGCTCAATGCTATGGAATTCCAGGATTTTAGTTTTGTGAGATATTTAGTGTTCTCTGTCTGAGCGCTCTGGTGCTACAACCAACTACAAATCCCAGGATTCCATAGGATGGAGCCATAACTGTTAAGCTGGTGTCAAACTGCTTTAATTATGCAGTGTCGCAGCAGCCTTTCTTTTCCATTGAAATTAAGAGCTTTCAAAAGCAGATGAAGTTGCACCATGCCAAATAAGCTGTGTTTTGTTGTAAACAATTATCCTAGTCCTCAAGAGCTGCCCTTTGTAAGAGTGAGTGCAGCCAAACTCAGCTGTTACCAGGGGTGTCTCCATATGTATTTACAAACTGTGTAAATCTCCTAGCAAGAAACCACTTACTGAACTAAACATGGAGTGCTGAAAATTTACAATAGAAAAATGTCCTTGTCTCTTTGGTCAAAAGCATTGCTTTCCTACAAACAGCTGCATCTTACCATCCCTCTTTTTTGCCTCTAAAGTCCTTATATAACTTCCCATCCCACCAAGATCCAACATATTTTCTTGAACTCTGAAACTCTTTTCATGTCAGCACTTTACATTCCCTATAGGAAAAACTCACATTTTTCAGCTGCAGCTTTCTGGCCACTGGAAACAGATTTCAAGCACTCGCCTTCCTGATCTGGAGTTGATTTATATGTTTCCTTCCCAAATTCAAGCTGCAGGGAGAATTCACAAAGAAAAGCCATTGTCATAACCACCAATTCACAATGTAAAAGAAAAAAGGTAGCATTTAAGGTAACTATGGAAAGGTTTTGAGTTAAATTATCACCTGTCTCAAACGGCACATTACATTGTGGAGGAGATGCAGCTCAGTGGTAGAGCACATGCTTTGTGTGGAGAGGGTCCCCGTTTCAAACCCTGACATCTCCATGTAAGCTTTGAAAAACTCCTGCTTAACATTCTGGGCAGCTGCAGCCAGTTGAAGTTCACCATACTAGATTAGATGGTCCAGCTCAGCTTCAGAGCTTGGAAAAGGTTTGGGGAAGTGATTGGACATCTCTCCACATGGCTATTGACTGTGCTGGCTAAAGGATTCTGAGTATTTGTGGTCTGAAAAACACACATAAACACCAACAACAACCCTAAATTAATAGATAGATTCGGCCAAAGGAACCTACCTGTCAGCAGAAGTAGTGGGGTTCATTTCTTTCCATACACCATTCAGTCCATTTTGTTTTGGACTGGATGAAGGTAGACAAAATGAAGTGTAAACCAGGGAAGAGATGCTCCTGTTTAGTCACAAAGGCAGATCAGAGAGTGGGGAGTCAATCTATGTCAGATGGGCCACACTGGGCTTGGAGACTTAGGTTTCCTGTTTGGGTGTAATTTCTGAATTCAGCTCTCAAGCTAGATAGGTTTTGGCAGTAGCCAGGAGTACCCTTGCAAACATGCCTACTCTTCCCATCCCTGGTGGTGCTGGATCAGTCATGGAAACATATGATTTACATTCCAGCTCTGCATGGGACTGCCTTTCAAAAATGTTCAGAACCTTAGTTTGAGGCCCTTTCATGCTACATTCAGTGCTATGAATGAAGCTGCTTGCTATTGCTAAATCATAGTCTATGGTCACTAATGGACTGGATCAAGGCAAACAAACTGGAATTTAATCCAGAAGGACAGAGGTGATCCTAGTCAGTCAAAAGCCAGATCAGGGAACAGGGATTCAGTCTATGTTTGGCGGATATGGGAATTTTGCTGGCAAGCCACAGGGTCTTCATATTTCTCTCTGTGTTTTTTATGCATAAGTTTAATGTCTAAGCACCCTAATAATTAACTTGGCCTGGTTTCCTGTGTCCTGTTTACTTCTCTTGACCTTTGAGCCTGAAACAGGAAAAAGAGCACCTTCTGAAAGTTAATGAATGATGAACAAACATTCAGAATCATGTAAACAAGATGTCAATAAAAGGAGGGGGAAGATTCACCCCCCCCCCTCAGGCAGTTGCACTCGCACTCTGTCTCACGTGTCATTCCTGTAGGGAATCCCAACAGGTGGAGTTAAACTCCCCTTGAAATTTCAGGTTCACAGTTTGAGCATATTTGTGGATTCACATATGAACCTGGAAGCTCAGATTTCGGCACTGGCCAGGAGTATATTTGAGCAGCTAAAACTGCTGCTCCAGCTGAGACCTTTTTTTTTTAGAGATTTCAGCTCTGACTATAGTGACACATGCCTTGATTACATCCCATTTGGTTTACTGTAACACACTCCACATGGGGCTGTCTGCCTTTGAAACTGTTCTGAAACTTCAGCAGGTCCAACATGCTATAGCCAAAGCTGCTGACTGGAGCTGGTTATAGGGAGCATATAACTTGTTGAAACAGCTATACTAGCTACTAGTCCATTTCTGAGCAGAATTCAAAATGTTGGTTATGACCCTTAAAGGCCTATGCAGCTTGGCTCTATACTATCTGAAAGACCATGTCTCCCATTGCGAATCTGCCTGAGTTTTGAGATTCCCCAGGGAGGGCCTTCTTTTGGTCCTGCCACCATCACAGTCATGTTTGGGGGGAGCCTTTTCCTGGTTGCTCCCAAGTTTTTCCACAGAAGGTTCGGTTCCCCTACCCTCCCTGCTGTCTTTCTACTGGCAGGCAAAGACCTTTATATGTAGGCAGGCCCTTGGTTTTTAAGTTGTTGCAGCAGATGAAGTTTCATGAGATGTTTTACATCTGTGTTTTATTATATTTTAAACTTGCTTTTAAAGTAGTTTTAACTTGGTTTTTTTAAAAAAAATTCATTTAAATATTTTTAACTTTTGCATTAATGATTTTTTGTTGGTGTTGTGTTGTTGTTATTGTGTGCCTACAAGTCATTTCCAACTTATGATTACCCTAAGGCAAACCTATCACAAAGTTTTCTTCAGCAGTTTGCCATTGCCATACTATGAGGCTGAGAGACAGTGACTTGCCAGGGTTATCCAGTGGGTTTCATGGCTGAGTGGGGATTCAAAGCCTGTTCTCCAGAATCATAATCCAGCTCTCAAAACACTGCACTATGCTGGCTGTAAATGGTTCTGTTCTGGGAGAAAGGTGGGATATAAATTAAACAGAACAGTTCATTAAACAGAGAGTCTGTGAACATTTAGAAGAGAATGCCGTAATCACTAAAAGTCAACATAGGTTTCTTAAAAACAAGTAATGCCAGACTAATCTGATCTCTTTTTTTGAAAAAATTACCAACTTGGTAGATGAAGGGAATGCGGTAGACATAGCATATCTTGATTTCAGTAAGGCTTTTGACAAGGTCCCCCACGATATTCGTGCAAACAAGATAGTAAAATGTGGGCTAGACAATACAACTGTTAGGTGGATTAGTAACTGGTTGACTGACTGAACCCAAAGGGTGCTCAACAATGGCTCCTTTTCATCCTGGAGAGAAGTAACCAGTGGGGTGCCACAGGGTAATGTCCTGGGTCCAGTGCTATTCAACATCTTGATCAATGATTTAGATCAGGGGTAGACAACCTTTCCCCTTTAAGGGCTGAGGGACTT